CATTTTATGATGCTCATCTTCCCAACACAATCGCCGAAGACAAAGCTGGTGTATAAGCAAATGTGGCGAAGAAAGTTGATGGAGCCCTGCTATCAAAAGATATAGCATCTGGGGTCTTAAAGGCTTAAAGATAAACAAGTGGCCATCTAGCTGAGAAGCAACAAAGCTCACATGGAAGAAGCACCCAACCTGTGTGATCATGTCGATAGGATTAGGTATCAGGCATCAAAGAACACAAAATCATATCATTGTGAATGAGGGGGACTGCGGAGTGGAGACCCAAAGCTCACCCGAAGACAACTGGACATCCCCTTACAGAAGGGTCGTGGGGAGGAGACAAGCAAGTCAGGGTGCAGTATAGCACCAATGAAACACAACTTTCCTCTACTTTATTGCTTCTTCCCCCCCACCCCACTCCACTATCATGACCCCAGTTCTACCTTACACACCTGGCTAGACCAGAGTATGTACACTGCTACAGATAGAGCTGGAAGCACAAGGAATCCAGCAGATAAACCCTCCAGGACCAATAATGAGAGTAGCAATGCCAGGAGGGTAAGGAGAAGGTGGGGGAGAAAGGGGAAACTGATCACAATGATCTACATATAACCCATAGGTCAAGGGAGATATTGGACCGTGTAAGACATGAAAAAAATAATTTATAAATTATCAAGGGTTCGTGAGAGAGGGAAGGTGGGGGAGGGAGGGGGAAATGAGCTGATACTAAAGGCTTAAGTAGAAAGAATGTTTTGAGAATGATGATGGCAACAAATGTACAAATGTGCTTGACACAATGTATGTATGTATGGATTGTAATAAGAGTTGCATGAGCCCCCAATAAAATGATTTTTTAATAATAATTTTTTAAAATATCGGCTTCTTTTTTGATGGCCCTTTACCCAGTCTGATGTCCTTCTCCAGGGACTTGTCTCTCCTGATAACATGTCCAGGGCTGTGAGACGAAGTTTTGCCATCCACACTTCCAGGGAGCATTCTGCTTGCACTTCATCAAGACAGACTGCTTTGTTCTGCTGGTTCATGGGACTTTCTCTGTTCTTCTCCAGCACCGTAATTTCTTTTTTTTTTTAAAATCATTTTATTTGGGGCTCATACAACTAATTACAATCCATACATACATCAATTGTGTAAAGCACATTCGTACATTAATTGCCCTCATCATTCTCAAAACATTTGCTCTCCACTTAAGCC